ATGTTTAGATGCTCAATCAAATCACACACAAGCATTAGTGGAAAATCAATAATCATTTCCAATCTTGAATTTTGACACGTGGAAAGGATTAGGATGGCAACTCTCGTTATTATCCAGTTAACTAGTGGATTGAGTGAAGGGATGGCAACGGGTCGGTTCTGGGCCGGGTTTGTCTAAACCCGAGACCCGACCCATGAAAAATATATAAAACACAGACCCGCCCCAACTCTGTTTGAGGTAAATTACAACCACTCCTTGAGGTATTGTCAAATTTACGAAACCCCTCTCCCGTTTGGGTAATTACAACCACCCCCATCAACTATAAATATTCTCACACGTCCATCCTTGCGGTTTCAAATTTAGTTGAATCTTCGAGATTATATGGAATATTATCACTTTTATACACGTTTTATCCCATTCGAACTCTACATTTTGAAGCAAGATGATCATAATGTGTTTTTTGACTTGTATATATCATATTGTTGTATAGCAGAAACTGTATTTTTATTTTTTACACAAAAAGAGTACAAATTAGAGCACATTCCACGATATCTAGATGATTATGTTGAATTTGACACCATAAGGGTGGATATGTAATCATAGTTGAGGATTAGATGTAATTATCCAAACAAGAGGGGTCTTTTCGTAAATTGACCATACTCAGAAGGTGGTTGTAATTTAATATATATATATATATATATATGAACTCTCAAATTGGGATGATTTATTACTTATTAGTTACATTCAATGTGGAGCCCCAAATTAGCAAGTTTGAGTACCGAATAAGGCCATAAAAGTTCATTTCAATCTTGTCAAGTATTTTGTCTTAATCTCAAATTCTTTGTTAATTGAGAAGAGGGTTCCCTCTCATCAATCAAGGTTTCAATCATCCAAATTTGACTAATTCTTTTTTTTTTTTTAATATTTATTTTCTCTAGAAGTGAGCAAAAAAATTGAGGAACTGAAAATCGAACCGAAAACTGAAAAAATCGAGCCGATATGCACCGTCCCGACTTAAAATCGAATATACGGTAATTTTTTTTTGAAAAACCGAAAATATCGGTTTGTGTATGGGGAATAAAAAAATTACCGAACCGATTACTCGAACCGAACCAATTTATACAAAACAACATCGTTTTGATAGATGGTGTAAATATTTACTGTCTTCCCCTAGCGTGCTTATATCCTTCTCGCCTCCACGTGACATATTTTTTATTAGCTAATTTTGAGTTGTGACATGTTTTTTATTAATTAATTCTGAGTTGTTATTTGTTAATTTTCTCAAACAAATGTAATGAAAGTCCAAATTCACTGTTAATGAAATACCAATTTTATACCGAACTAATAGATTAAACCGAAACCGAAAATAAACCGAATTGATACCGAAACCGTTAACCGAAAACCAATTAACACCGAACCAAAAAAAACCGACATGTTCCATTCTTAAAATATGAAAAACCGATATTATCGGTACGTGTTTAGTTTATCGCAAAAACCGAGCCGTACCGACCCGTGCGCACCCCTAATTTTCTCCTACTTGTAACATTTCACTGTATTTACCTAAAAATCTATTAAAGGTACTTATCCATGTATTTGCATTCGTATTTACGTGACAGACGTACTTGACAGACGGTTTTATAGATGCTACATCCGGTGAAGTACACTGGATGATTATGTACCTTTGATCTATACATAATAACACATACTCACGTGTATGTGTGCTTAGTGGATAGTTATTTATATACATTTATAGTGCAAAATCACTCAGTGCAAAATCACCCGGTGCTTTTCACCAGGTGTAGATCCAGCATCCAATACCTCTTGGTCTTTGTTTTTATACACAAAATTTCACAAAATAAAAATAAAATAATGAATAGGCTAAAGCAACATTATATAGAGAAGCTATATGAAAACCAAGTATGAACTCAAGTGCAATCTTATAGGTAAAGATACAAATTTCCCACAAAAAAAATCTTTTTTTCTACATTACTTCTATATATATATCTTGTTCTTGCCTTCTAATTTCACAACTCATTTCTCCATTTTCCATAGTTATAACACCACAAAAGTTCTAACTTCTCCTATTTTCGACTATACGATCTTTTACAATCTGTACAACGTTTCCAAATGAATTATCCAAGGGGCAAAACATCACAACGTATTTTCAAAAAAACCCAGCATAAGGTTTTCAATGTTCAAAAAAAAAAAACTACTTACTAGTTTTTATAGCCTGAGAGCATGAATGTGTCACCATAAAAATGATATTACGCAATAGCCACTCTGGAAAAACAACCGTTTTCACGAGCTATCACGTATAGTCGGGAAGCTAAGCCCGTCTTTGATATGACTGACTGATGTCGGCCATAGCCATTTTAGCATGTCTGGTCCCAACACCTGATTATCAATTACATACTTCGTCATCAAATATTCACACACACACACACACACACACACACACACACACACAGAGAGAGAGAGAGAGAGAGAGAGAGAGAGAGAGAGAGAGAGAGAGAGAGAGATACCAAGGAAATATTTTTGTAAAAACCAACATCATACGGGTGGTGATAAACGAGTCCAGATTTCCTCGCTAACCATGCAGCTCGTTTTACTTCGTGGTGCTGAGAGTAAAAAGATTCATAATTAAATCATCAATTCAATCATAATTAAAAAAAGGAAATAAACGAGGTGTGATCGAACGCTCAAGACTCAATTTTATTTACCTCTATAGTTGTCATGTTATGTGAAGTGAGGTATACATGCCATGCCAATAGAGTTCCAAGCATCGCACTTAGACTCACACTTAAAACTCCACAACCTATCTGTGAAATACACAACTCCGTCACATAATTTTAGAAAAAAAATCTAAAAAATCGCACAATTAAAATGCGACAAAATAAAGTAGCTAATAAGGATTTAATAACTAACTCACGTGAAATGCCTTGAGATTACGATTTATGGTGGACTCCCAGTCTTTGTTAAGTGCGCTGCCAATTATAATGATCTGAGAATTCGACAAAGATAAAAACATAAGTGGATAAATATTTAAAATGATAATAAATAGAAATACACAAATCGAATGTTTACCGCAGAGTAAGTGCTTGCAATAAATGCGTAGAATATTAGAAGAAGATACGACTTGTAGTTTCTGTGGCCCACGCAGTTATTAATCCATGAACAGTGGTGATCCTGCGTCGAGTTTTTACACCAACAAAAATGTTAAAAAAAGAAAAATAAATAAATAAATTACTAGAAAATAATAATAAATTAATACTAAAAAACACTTTGTACCCACCATTCTCAGAACACACCTTCTGCAGACACGACAATGGTGAGCTCTCGGAGGTTTGTGAGCGGAGCACTTGTCGCAGTTCCTTTGATTCGCGCCCTGAAAAAGCCATTAATGTAAAAATAATTTCAATTTAATATTGAGCTTCGAAGAAAAGAAGCTCGTGTTTTGCTTATACAATTTTTAAACTTTCATCCTTCTTTGGTTTGCAAAATTGCAACAGAACATAATCTTGCTAAGTTAGTGTTTTCGAAGAGCTAAACGGAACATAATCTTTCTACCAAGATTTCGAACTTCCGGAAACTTTAATCCTTCTTAAGTTCGCAAAATCGCAACAGAAAAGAAAAAAAAAAGAGTTTGTGCATTTAAAGAGTTGCAAATAACCTCGCTAACAACATACGGACATCATCATACCCGCTTTGCGC